TCGGTCGCCATTCTTTGACCACGATTTTTAATTAATCAGAAATTTGAAAGATCTTAAATGAGCCAAAATATAAGTTACTCCAGGTTGCCGACCCCTGAGTTAGCGGCATTTAACAATTAGACAGATTAGCTTCTCCATCTCTCGCAAATACGAAGGATGAAATATATAATTATATACATATATTTATAATGGCACATTCCAAATCCTTAGTTAGCTACTTTGCACTACCACCTAATTCGCAAAATGTGCCGCAGACATCTTTGGTACAATATTTTGAGCTTCCACTCATGACTGGCATATGTGGTCCATATAGAAGCGTACTGAATGCACATACCTGACATATGCTTAGTTTTGTGCTTTATTCCACACACGCTTATTCAATTTAGCCATAGTTGATGCTACTTTATCGATCCTGATTTTCAATGGCGAGTAAGCTAGAGATATTGGACCCAAGGTATACAACTACTGACAGATTATGCCTACTCAATAGTTATGTTTGGAGGATGCCGAGTTTCTTGCTTCATGAAATTTATTTTCACTACTAATGTTCAGTTCAAACTCTTTACATGCGTGGCAGAAGGGATCAGCTAACCACTGCAGACTTTGTTCTGTGTGTGATTAAGATGGCATAATTTGGGAAGAGCAGTTCATAAATGAGCATCTCTTTTACCTTGGTCTTTGCAAGAGGACATGCGATTTTAATCATCATAAGATATTGGTTGAGAATCATTGGTATTAGATCACTTTTAAAATTTGTGATTACTAGTGTAGAGAACTTTGGTCATCTCTGTTGTCTAACTACGTTATCTGGATGATAACCTCGTTCACTCTGTCTCTCGGCAAAAATCAGGTAATAACACTTGGGTGGTTATAGTCTTTGCTCTTTTATTGATCTGCTACTTCGCTTTTCTCTCATCTCGCACTCAACTCTGACTGTCCTCTACTCCTACCCGTTGGAGCTCTCCCTGTCTGGTTGAGTTCTCTCAGTCCTGTCTAACGGTATCTTTTTATAAGTCTCTCAATTGGTCGTTGTGTCACTAGAGACCCCCCCCCCCCCC